CTATCTGAAGTGTACCTGGCGTATAAGACGACCCCCCACTTGGAGGCATATTTTTCAGGGCCAAAAAATCGTCTTATACGCCGGCAAATACGGTATTAGATTTGCTTCAATACATATTGCAACACCAACTCAAAATTTAACAAATACATTAAACAAGTGCACACAGTATTTCATTTAGAAATCATAACTGCTTTGTATTGTAGATAAATAATGATATTCCCTCTAAATAAGAGGACACTGAGAGATTAAGTGGCTTTACCAAAAACATTAAGCAGCAGCAGAACGGAGATCCAAATCAAGATACTCTGATTTTGAGGTAAATTCAATTACGCTAGAATCTATTAATTTTAAAAGTATGCATCTCTACATTTTCATAAATTACTAGGCATTTATTATGCATAAAGATGTATTACACTGGATTAAAAGGAAGTAGAAAATGAATAAATGAAGCCAAAGAGTGTGGACTATTCTTCTGAGAAATCTGACAATAAAAATAAAGAGAGCAAAGATAACAGGATGGTGGGAAAGTGAAAAGTATTATTAGAGAAATTAGAGCATGTTTGTACACTGAAGAAGAATCAGAAGAGAAAAAAGAGAAACTATAAGCAATAAATGTGAGTAATACTGTATTTCTTCAAGAAGCTCGTGGACTCATGAGGATCCTAAGACTAACAGCATGTGACAGGATGAAACAAAACAGCATAAGAGAGGATTTGATGCCAAACCAGTATGAATGGCAATGTTCTCTAGGAAAAGAGGAAGACAAAAATTACTGTTAGTGGTGAATGGAGAGGCTTCGTTTAAGGGAAGGACTCAAGAAATGCCAGGGTTCGGAGAGCATATTGGGAAGAGCAAAGGGGCAGCCTGAGAATCTGAACAATGTAAGGACCATTAGAGAAATCCATCTGCTCGCAATAAAATTCCTTAAATACCACTCTGAATAGTCTCCTTTATAATTGCACTCTTAATGAGATACACTTGGTTCTCATTATTCACGGTCGTTATGTGAAAAATGAATTAGTGAATTCTGAATCATTGGTTCCTGTGGGAAATACAGGGTTAGGTTCCTGTGAGCCTCTGGTCACAACATTTCCCTCAACCAAGCAATACAAAATCTTGCTTTATGTGTGTTTTTGTTTAAAGACACCTTATTAAATATATATTATTGATTCTTTAACACTGACCTCACAGTCAAAGGCACTATAACTGATGCCTGAATGAAGCTTTCTAATACTAATTTTCTTCCTAGGGCACCATCACGGCCTTCTTACATTTAGCAATGCTAGACAGAACTACGCTTGGGAGCCATTTTAAACAACAAAATCACCAACAAAAATGCAAACATAAAATGTCACTAAGTAGACTTCAGAAGAACACTTGTTTAAAGTATGAGAGCTAAAACCAGAGAGCAGAGCATCACCTTGTTCTACCTCAGCTAGAAATTGCACGTCAAGCAATGAACAACACGTTTCACTGCTCTGCGCATGTCCATGAAGGACTGTGAAAGCACTATGAGGATTAATTATGGGGTTAAATTTCAGCAAGCAGGCAAGTCCTCATATACAGAATCCTGGGAGGGGTTTGGGGGGATAGGTGAAAAGGGGAAGGACTTAAGAAGTACAGATTGGTTGTTACCTAGTAGTCATGGGGATGCAGGGTATAGCATAAGGAATATAGTCAATATTATAATATTGGTAGGGCCGGCCAAGTGGCTCAGTTGGTTAAGAGATCGCTCAAGAGTTTGAGCTCTGAGCAATAGCGGTTCGAGTCCAGCCCAAGCTGAGCAGCCGCTGAGCTGCCAACAGGTAGCAGGATGGCTCAGCT